AAACACTGATGAGGATGTGAAGAAGCTGGACCACTCATATATTGCTGGTGGAGATGTAGAGTAGTACAACCAGGCTGGAAAAGTTTGGCAGCTTCCTAAAAAAAGTTAAACATGCAACTACCATAGGACCCAGAAATTGCACTCCTTGGCATTTTTCCCAGAGAAATGAAAACTTACATTCACGCAAAAACGCGTAAACAAATAGCAGCTTTATTCATAATAGCCAAGTACTGGAAGCCACCCACATGCCCTCAACAGGCAAATGGTTAAATAAACTATGGTACATCCATACCAGGGAATATTACTCTGCAATGAAAAAGGAACTAAATATGGTTACCTGTAGTGACCTGGATGAATATAAGAATTATGCTGAGTGGGGGAAAAAAAAGCCAGTCCCCTAAAGGTCACAACTCTATGATTTTATTTATGGAACATTCTTGGAATGACAAACCTTATAGAAATGGAGAATGTATTAGCGGTTGCCAGGCATTAAGGAAGGGAGTCAGGTGGGGAATGGTGTGGCTTAAAAAAGGCCACAGGAGGAATCTTTGTCGTGGTGGAAATGTTCTGCATCTTGATTATCCATGTATATATCCTGGTTGTGATATTTTTACTATAGTTTTGCAAGGCATTACCATTGGGGGAAGCTGGTCATAGGGTACACAGGATCTCTCTGAATTTATTATTTCTTACAAATGCATATGAATCTATAATTATATCAAAATTTAAAAAATAATTTTAAAAAAACAGGCCTTGGACTGGATTTGGCCTGCAGACCATAGTGTGCCAACTCCTGGCTTAAGTGGTTTCGTCCCTTCTCCCTCTCACATCTTGCCTTATGCTAACCTTGTTTTCCCGTGTCTCACGGAGCTTCAACTGCATTGGCCTCCTCTGTTCCATGGATAGGCCAACACTGTTCCTTCCTCAGGACTTTCATACTTGCTGTTCCCTCTTGGATAACCCTTCCCACTCATATTCACCCAGGAGGGTCTACTTATCATTCAGGCTTGGCTCAAATACTCATTTTATGCCTCTTCACTCCATCCCCCTTCACGTTTTATCACATACATTTTTTTTTTCCTTCATCGCACCTTTTACTCTATGAAATAATCATTTTATTTGTCTACTTCTTAATCATTTGTCTCCTCTCTCAAATTTAAGCTCCACGAGAGCAGGGTCTCGTCTGTGTTGTTTACCACCTCATTTCCAGTACCCAGCTCATTTGCTTAGCACTGAGTAGATGTTCAATAAATCTTCGTTAAATGATCCAATGAAGGACTTATCCAATGAAGGACGGATGAGAAAGAAAAAATAAGCTAATAGTTCCAGTTAGGCTTTACTGGGGGGGAGGCATTCATCTATCAATTTCTCATTTATCCTTCATTTCTTTCTTTTCTTTTTTTTTTTTCTTTTTGAGGCAGATTAGCCCTCAGCTAACATTGGCTGCCAATCCTCCTCTTTTTGCTGAGGAAGACTGGCCCTGAGCTACTATTCGTGCTCATATTCCTCTATTTGATATGTGGCACACCACTTCAGTATGGCTTGATGAGCAGTGCTATGTCTGCGCCCAGGATCCAAACCAGTGAACCCTGGGCCACCGAAGCAAGCGCGGGAACTTAACCACTGTGCCACTGGGCCGGCCCCTATCCTTCATTTATTTAGTGCGTATTATGTGGAGGTTCTGAGCCAGGCAGGTTGTTTTCTCGTTGAGTCTCCAGAAATGCCTCCCAGAGAAGCGTTATTATTTCCATTTTACAGATGAGAAAACCGAGGTTCTCTCTGCTGCAAAACCCATGCCTAGAGCTCAGTGTCACAAAGTCTGGATGGAAGCAGGACTGACTTTGGTCCCATATTCTTGTCTCCAAGCTGCCTCCCCCATTTAAAGAAAGGAAACTGAGGCTCAGTTACGTTCAAGGGCTTGCTCACGGTCACAAGGCAGGAGTCATGATCTTCCTTTCTAGTGCACCAGGATGTCTCCCTTTTGCTCCAATGACATCTCCTCCCTCTGAGAAGACTTTCCTGACCAGGGCATTGCTATGCCAGGATTCCCCAGTCGCTCACCTTTGCAGAGTTTTCATTTTCCCGTTCAAGTTATACTGCACTTCTTCGTGTTTTTCTGTAACTAGTTCTCCGTCTGACAGATAGGTATATTTCTTATCTCTCAAATTGGATCCTCAGCTCCTTAAACACACCCATCCCAGCAGCTACCATTTACTGAGCGCCGTCTAAACACTCGATAGATTTATCTCACTGTATTAGTTATCTGTTCCTGCGTCACAAATGATCCCCAAATCGAGCGGCTCAAAACAAAAAGCATTTATTATCTCACGCAATTTTTTAAGGGTTAGGAATTCAAGAGCGGCTTAGCAAACCCAGAGGCTTAAGGAAACAGCAATTTATTCCCTCACCGCTCTGGAGGCCAGAAGTCTGAAATCAAGATGTTAGCAGGTCCGGGCTCCAATCAAGGCCTCTTGAGAGGAATCCGTCCTTGTCTCTACAGCTTCTGGTGGCTGTAGCATTTGTGGGCTTGTGGCCACATCGCTCCAGTCTTTGCTGCACCTCCATGTGGCCTTCTCTGGGTGTAATCTCTCTGTGCCTCTCTCTTTTGAGGACATTTGTGACAGCATTTAAACCTACCTGGATAATGCAGGCTAGTCTCCGTGTCTCAAGAGCTTCAATTTAGTCCATCTGCAAAAACTTTTCCTATAGAAGGTGACACTTACAGGTTCCAAGGGTTAGGATGGGGACATATTTCTGGGAGCCATTCTCAGCCTACAACACTATCTCCTCGGTTTGCTGGATGGATTAACTAAGTAAAAACAGGTAAAGTGTTTAGATTCTGCCTGGATCATAGAACATACTCTTGTAAAGAGCAAAAGTGGGGAGCCAGCCCGGTGGCGCAGTGGTTAAGTTCGCATGTTCCGCTTCTCAGAGGCCCAGGGTTCCCCGGTTCTGATCCCGGGTGCGGACATGGCACCGCTTGGCAAAAGCCATGCTGTGGTAGGCATCCTACATATAACGTAGAGGAAGATGGACATGGATGTTAGCTCAGGGCCAGTCTTCATCAGCAAAAAGAGGAGGATTGGCAGTAGTTAGCTCAGGGCTAATCTTCCTCAAAAAAAAACCAAAAAGAACAACAGTGGTAAGGAATCAGCAGGTGATAGAAAGAACTGTGAGTAACCCCCTGGCCCAGATATCTACAGTTTCCTGATGAAAAGGTCAGGCATTCTTTTTAAGGCTCCTCCCTGTGGCTCTGCAGATGGGCAGACCAGCGCCCACGACCAGCAAATGGCTCCAAATCACCCCATGACCAGGGGTCCTCTTGTCTGACAGTGAATGTTCAGAGACAAGCAGGGGCCTCCTCTGAGCTTGTATTAATATGTACAACACTTCACTCACATGGAAAATTGATTTTTCTTTTTAAGCACAAAATGTAGCCAGTTTTATAACCTTTCTGCCGCTTGACAAAGGCCATTTATAACCTACTCTCTCCGTCACCCTTCCTGGCGCCAGTCTCCAACGTCTCGAAGAACTCTCTCATGCATTTGTAATTATGAATTCTTCTGAGGCAAAATTTAATTTCTAAGAGGGCTGACCTTTTTTTTGTTGTTATTGTGGTTTTTTTGTAAATTAATTTTTTTGTGTGTGTTTTGTTATTGATGTTGTTTTGGATGACGGCTTGGCGAGGGGACCAGGGAGCTGGTTGGGAGGGGAGGTACACTGGGAGGGCATTTTAATCAGTGATGTCCTATGACGGATGAGGAAGGCTGAGCTCTGGGTGTTAATCTTTGTGGATAGCAAATGCCAGCAGGGCGACCGGAATTAAAACCTAGTACCTCATTTTCTCTCTGGAACGAAGGAGAGTTGGAACTGCTTCTCCATCTGCTGGACTGGGGAAGATGAGCTCAGCCTCATCAAATGGAGGAAAACTAAATTAGATAAATAGTCATTCGCCCCTGCCGTAGATCTTCCACTCACGGAGCACTTAGCAGGTGCCAGGCACACTCACAAGAGCGTTTGGCTGAGGTCACTGGAGGTTGGAATCGTTGGGGTTTTTGGGGAGCCAGAGGCAGCCCATTGGGTTCCTGGAGGGAGGTGCACATGGCTGGGCAGAGGATTTGAAATTATCTATGGAAGACCTTGACTATCAGCTTAAGGAAGATTCAAGGTGTTGCTGTTAAAAATGCATTTATTTATTTAACCCGGGAAGTGAATTTAGAAGTATCGCTCTGGTGACCATTAGGAGGATGGGTAGAGGAGGCCAGACTGGAGGCCAGCAGACAGGTCGTGGGATGCAGGAATCTTATTCACGACTCCAGGCACAAGGATGGGGAAGAAGAGACAAATTCAAGACAGGAAGGAAGAGCACTCACCTTGATGAGTACCAAATTGTATGCTGAATTCTGAAGGAAAGGATGCACCCCCATGATCCAACTGAAGCGTCACAACAAATCCATAGGTGTAGGTGCTAGGCCTGTTTAACAGATAAGGAAGTCGAGGCTCAGAGAGGGTGAGTAACTTTCCCCGGATCGCACCGTAAGAAGAGCTGGTATTTAACTCAAATTGGTAGAGCTCTTTACCATATATCTGGCTGCCTCCCAAAGTGACCTTTATAGCAGCAGACCCTATTGGACAATAATAATAAACACAATAATGGTGATGATCCCAGCAATGTCAATATTAATAGCAGCTAACATTTGCTGTGTGATGTTGTGTGAGCCACAATGTTCTCAGCACATTGAGTCATCATTTCCCTTCGTTCTCACAACTCTGCAAGGTAGTTACTGACAAAAGTCCCATTTTACAGATGGGCACACTGACGTTCAGAGAGGTAAAGGCACTTGTCCAAGGCCACACAGCTATTGGTTGGCCAAAGGAAACTTTGAACCTGTTTCATCGGTACCCAACACATGCACCTTTTCAGAAGGTGGAAGGAGAGGGCTTGGTGGGACCCGCCACCTCCTCAGCCATAACTCCCCTCTTGCTCTCTCTCCGAGCAGTGCCCCGAGGAGCTGAGGCCCATGAAGGACGGCTCTGGCTGCTACGACCACTCCAAAGGCATTGACTGCTCGGACGGCTTCAACGGCGGCTGTGAGCAGCTCTGCCTGCAGCAGACACTGCCGCTGCCCTACGACGCCACCTCCAGCACCATCTTCATGTTCTGCGGGTGAGTCTCTGTCCCCGAGGAGGCCCAGCCACTCCCTTCACGGCAGCGGGGGATGCAGAAAAACGGTCAGGAGCTACAGCCCGGCCAGGCTGGGCCTGACTTTGGACAAAATGGCCTTTTTGCCTCTACTTTGTCAGCCCAAGAGGCAAAAAGGCAAGATTATAACCTTCTCTTGGGTATTGGGAAGAAGAATGGAAGAAGAGAAACAAATAACTGATTAATAATTATAATAATGGAATCCATGCTCAGGCTGCGTCCGGGTCAGGATTTTTTCCACATAAGCCTCCTGTCCCTTCTGCATCTTCCCTGCCGTCCTGGTCACTGTCATTTGGAGACAAAAGCAGACACCTTGAAGGTGTCACCAAGAAACCAGCAGATGTGATGCTTAAGAACGCAGACTTAGCCCAGGCTTTTGCCCCTGTTTCTGCAGGAATTTAGCAGTGCAAATTCAGAGGCTAGCCCCTCTAAGTCCTAATGCCCTTATTTGTGAGGATAATTCACTGGGAGAGGGGAGGTGTAAAGAAAACCACACAGGCCAAGCTCAAAGGGCTCACTCATGCTAAGAACTCAACCGAGTTTTACAATTAGTCTGAGACTGAAGAAGGGGCACACATTGGGTCCAACTTGCTGAGTGGCCTAGGACAAGTCACTTTCCCTCTCTGGGCTGCAGTTGGACCACTTGTGAAATAAGCTCTTTGGACAACGATGCCTAACGTATCTCCGTTTCCTTGTTTTCCATGTTAAGGACCGCATCGGGAGTCCCCTCTGTCACAGAGAGTATCTAGCATAGTGTTTGGGCCTCAGCACTAAAAAAAGTGGCAGCCGTTTTTCTTCTCCTCTTCATTCCCTGTCTGATGACGTCTTCGTATTAGAAAATGTGCTCATCTTTTGACATTCTGCGACTTGGAAAAATCATCCTGTGCTTGTGTAAGAATGTCAGTTGCTGAAGTGTGCTCAGTGCTTTCCTAAGAGAGACAAGCAGAATAAGGCATTTAACAACCTTTTCAGTCCTACGTATTATGAAAAAGGGGGCAGGGGAATGTAAGTGGGTTTAATCTCAGTTTAACCGAAAATTAATTTTACCTGCCTGGCTCTAGTCCGTGGGGTCCAGTGTTCCTTCTGGGGCTTATTTCAGGGTCTCCGCCTTCCCCAGTGATACTTGGGGCTGCAGGTGCCTCTGAGCAGATGTTGGAGCAGCTCCTGGAAGCCCTAGATGTGTGTCTGTAAAATAAATAAGACATAAATTAGCGTATGCAGACCTGAATTTATAGGTCTCTCCTCAGCTTAAGCGACTGCAGGGCCGTGTTGAGTAAATTATGCATGGGCTGAGATCTGAGGCTTGAATACAGAATCAGCTGTGTTCTTATCATTGTTATTTTTCTCCCCGTGTACGGGAGCGGGGGAGGGGGTCCTTCCCTTGCAAATAACCACAGTGACAGCAGCAGCAACGGCAGTAATGGATTTTGACATAGAAACTATCACCACTTTCCTTTCCTTCCATCAAGGGGCATCGATAGACGTGGGTTCTAATCCTAGCTCCCCCTCTGACTCTCTCTTAGACGTCAGGCAAGCCTCTTGGGACCCTTGACCTTCAGTTTCCTCATCTCCAAAATTTTAATAATATCGACCTCAATATCATGATGTTTGTGAAGAGTACAAAGAACTTAATGTGTATTCCTCCATTAAAGTTAAGTAATGTGCCCAAGGTCATATGGCTGGTAGTGCAACTCACTGCTTCCTTGCTGTGCGACCTTGAGCAAGTTACTTAACATCTCTGTGCCTCAGTTTCTTCATCTGTAAAATAGGGATAATAATAGTATCTCTCTGTGGAGTTGTTATGAGGGCTAAATGCATTACATTAGTTACATCAAAATATGCTTTAATAATTGTAAAATGCTTGGAACAGTGCCTTGCACAAGAATTACCACTATATGTATTTCTTAAAGAAAATAACTAAAGTGAAGCATAGTAATGACAATGGCCCCTCCATTGCTCAGTGCCCTGAGGTGCTCAGCCTTTTGGTTTTGGGTCTATGAGACAGGACAGCAACCTTCCCCTACTGGAATAGGTCTCTGAAAGTCCTCAATAAGATTGAAAGGGCGGCAATGTGCTGGGGGCTGTTGAAGTGCATGCGACTGCTGATAAACAGGCCAAAAAAGAAAAGAAAACCCGGGTCTCCTAAAACCAACTGCAGCGTCCACACGCTTTGAAAATTGTCTATTAAGGATGCAAATAAGAAATTACCCACACTTGTTGGAAGCTCTATAAACAAAACAATAACAGCCATTAGCAGGTAGAGAAGTGGCAAGCCATTGAATTAAGCAAGGAAAACAAACCCGTGCTCAGGGGGACCTTCCCGACTGGCTCAAAGCTCTGTGGCCTTTCTAGAGTTTTCTGGGTAGGTGTGGGTTTAATAACCCATTTCCTGCCAGGTTAATAATAGCAGCTCACATGTATTAAGGACTTCCTATATGCCATGATGGTGATAAATGCTTTGTGCATATTATCCCATCGACTTCTCATGACAACGCTACAAGGAAGATACTCTTGTGATCCCCATTTACTGTTGAGAAAACCAGGCACAGAGTGGCTCAGTGACTTGCCCAAGGTCACCCAGCTGGTTAAGTGGGGGCATCAGGACTCAAACCCATGCCATGGGGCTCTAGTCTCAGTTCAGACAGATCTGATGTCACTCCTGGCCTCTGGCCACTTCTAGCTATGTGGTTTTGGGGAGTCATTAAACTTCACTAAGCCTCTTCTTTCCCATAGAATCAGGTGTGACTGTAGCACCATTATGGGGGTTAAATAAAATTATACATGCACAGCGGCTGGCACTCAGTAAATGGGAGTTAAGTTAGTCTAACAGGTATAAAGCCGTCTCATTTACTCATTCAATGACTAAATTGTAGGTCTTGTTTACAGCTCTATCCTTAGCACCTAAGACAGCACCTAGGTACTCAATTAATAATTGTTAAATGAAGTTCCTCTGTTAACTTGGTTAAGGAAGTTGGTCCCAGTCCAGCCTTTCCGCTGCATTTCCAGCTACATCTCTCTTCCTGAATTAGGCCCCTTGGCTTCAGCCTCTGGAGCTTTGACGGCATTGTTTTGTCTGCCTCTTCATTCCTCCTCTGCTGTACCCCCGCCACCCTCCACTTGCCGGTGGCTCTTTAGCTGGGACAGCTCCGTTTCATGCTCAAGTCTTGGTGCTGACATTATCTTCTCCAGCAAGTCTTCTCTGAGCCCCACAGGGGTGCAGGAGTGGGATGTGCAGTTACCATGGAGCTGGGTAATATAATACCTCATCCTTTCAAGCGGATACTATTTGCATATTGGCTCAATATTTATCTAGTGGGGTTAGGACATGCATAGAAAGGACTCTTTTCGTGTCTTATTTTGATTTGTATTTTTTCTACCCTAAGATCTTCTTACAAGGAAGACGGCCTTTTACATTTAGCCTCAGATTCTAATTTATCCTAGTGAAATCTTGACACCTCTTGCAGACGGGACCTCTGGCTGGCTGCCCTGGTTGTCACCCCTTAGTCAGGTCAAGTTCCCCAAAACTGAGTAAAGCATCCTTTCGCTGGGGAAACACAGCCCCCTGGTGTTTCTTCCTGTGGTGGCCCCATAGCTCTGTTGACTTACCTGCTTTTCTGTCTTGTCACCGTATGAACAACGGGGACTGGGGTCTTAGTCACCTGTGTGTCCCTACTGTCATTCCCCACTGCTTGCTCAAAATCATAATTGTTGAATTAAGGGATTCAGCTACCTAAAAGTTGTGGTGCCTACTGTGTGCCTGGTCTTTTGTAGGATGCTGAGAATGCAAAGAGCATTGAGTAAAAGTCCTTTCTCATCATGGGCAAAAGAGGACACTGAGGACGGGTGGCTGAGCCTCGGTGGGTCCTGATTGACATTGCTAGAACTCAGGTACCAGTAGGGTAGAGAGAAGCAGGTAAGTTGGAGATAGGCTGAGAAGGTCACCTGATACTAAGATGAAGCATTTAGAATGAAGCTTACAGATGAGGGAGCATTGCCTCCCTGGAAGACCTTGGCACGTTACCTAGCAACCAAGTTTGTTTCATTTCTGTGCATGTGTGTTTACAATCTGTACTGTGCATTCTTCCAAGAGAACTTAATATTATCCACATAAATCCAACCCATAAAAAAATGGATAATATAAAGATAGGACCGATCAGAGCCATTTGTAAGGACAGAAAGGGAAAACATGGTTTCTGGAGCCTGAAATGGAAGAGTTACTCAACACGAGATAAATTTAAAGCTCTGTGCTTCTTATCAACAAAAGAAACAGAAAAAAACATAAGAGGTTATAGAGTTGTCCTTCTTTGAGAAAAGGAAGGCTGTAGTTTTGGGAGTCTTTTTGGCTTTGTTCTGTTTTCTAGAGGATATACACTTTTTCCTGACATAATTCACTAAGAGAGGTGGTTCCTATATAAGAAATAATGAGCAGTGTCATCAACGTTTTTGAAGTTTTGGTATTTCTCAGATTATGTAGAGGAGGAAACTGAATCCCGAAAGGATCTCACAGCCAGTCAGGAGGTGAAATTGGGAGAGGAGAAACCCCAAGCTTCTCTCTCCTAATTTGAATATATTTAAATATAATTTAATTTAAAATGCACTGGAAATGTGTTTAAAAATATGGGCTCAAAGAGCACATCCAGCCTCAAATAGTCCTTACTAGCCTATCTGTTTAATGTCATTTTAATGTGATTTTAGGAGGGAGAGGAGAGAAATACATGTGTTTAATATCTGTCGTTAACTGGAAGCCTCTTGTTTGCATCGTTGAAGCTGAAATCTGCTCCAGCAGTAGAAAACACTGACCCAGAGAATGCAGACGGAGGTGTTAATTTTGACTGTCAGTAAATACGAAGAGGTATCGGGCAGGGGACATTCATTCAAGCACTTGTTTTGTTACAATTTCCAACTTTTAGGCTGGGCCTGAGCTCTCCCCGCTCTGACTTCTGATGGAAGGAAGTGGAATTTAT